AAGCCATTGCCCAGCCAGAGCTCAGAGACATGCTTTTTCAAACCTAAGCATTTGAGAGTGCTAACTCTGAGTGTCAAAAGGCTGTACATCCTCTGAGAGCACAAAATGCTCCCTTAGAGGAATATATGTGGGCATGTGCTGATATAGAAATGGAATCCTACAAGGCTAATCTTGCTACTGCTTTAAAAGAAGGGTCTAAACCAAACCATGTCAAATGCTATAATTGTGGAAAGTTCCCACAACCTATTTTCTATAAAAAACCTTATATGTCAGAATGGAAACCTGGTTATGTGCTACATTGGGGCCGAGGTTTTGCTTATATCATTACAGAACAACAAGAGAAGCAGCGGCTAGCAGCCTGGTGGATTAAACCTTGGCATGAGCAGGAAACCTTGCCAGCGCTTTAATGAATCTGCCTTCACTAACTTTTCTATTGATGGATTAAGGACCCTAATTTCTTGGGCCTGGGGAACTTCATAATAAAGAAACGCTGGATCAACTTCCTCTGTAGGACCTCTAACTGCTTCCCCCGTATCACCGTCCATCGTCAGCAGGAAGCAGTTAGAGTGGTCAGCCAGCGTCCCTTTTCCCTATTCGGCAGTTAGAGCTTCTTTGTGGGGAGGGAATATTGATATAGGCTTTTATTATTCTGGGCTGAATAGGAAGCCCCAGGTAAGCTCAGAATGCATCCTCTGGGCTTTAGGGAGGTCATGGACAACAGAGATCTTGAACAACAGAGACCTCGAAGAGCAGGCTTCTTGGTAACAGTTGCACGGGTATTGGCTAAGGTAAGAGAATGTTACTTGTTGGGCTTGTATCTGTTTCACTTGAGCACCTAACATTCTATGCTTGTTGCTCATTCATTTGAAGTGGGTGCAATGGACAGCTAACCTAGGCTGTTGGTTAATACTTCCTACGGAAGTGTCATTGACCCTATGGGTCAGCCCGAGGCACGTAGTTGGGTGGTGATTAGTACAAAGGGGGCACGTCTCCCCCTATGCCTAGTCTGGTTAGGTAACACAATCACAAAAACTGGAATTCTTTCATAACCTGGGTGAGTTCTGCTGGTGTAATTTTGTTAACTCATGTGCCCAAAGCTAGCTAGCCAGCTCGCTGGCTGGCTTTCCTTTCTCTCTCTTTCTCTCTCTCTCTTTCCTTCTTTCCTTCTTTCCTTCTCTTCTTCTTTTTTTGGTTTATAAAGTCAAGCTTCAAAGCTTAGAGGAGCAGGTGCAGAGTTAATGGCAGAGGAATCAGCAGGTGCATAGAGTTCTTCCTGCTTCAGACAGAAAGGACCTTGGGCCCAGAGATGGGGGGGGGGGCGCTTCCCAGGCCACACTGAAGTCCGAGGTGGAAAAGAAAGAATTGCATTCCTGCACACATGGATTTTGAGACCGTGTTCCTTATTTCCCACCCCCAACTAGTGAATGTCGCTGTAAATGACATTCAGTGGGGCACAGAACGTAAGTATGAAGAAGCTTGGCCACAGGAGCCAGGAAGGGGAGAGTGGGGAGTTTCCAGGCTGAAGGCCCCATGTCAGGATCCTACTGCCAGAGGGACTTGGCACCTGCAAGAGGTGAACGGGGCCTCACGTGGGCCAGGCCTTCTCCTCTGCATCCCGCTCCTCTGCATCCCGCTCCTCTGCATCCCGCTCCTCTGCATCCCGCGTTGCTAACTGCCTTTGAAACAGAGCTGTCTGGCAGGGTTCAGGCTACAGGGTGCTCACTGGCCACTGTCATATCCAGCGGAGAGTCATCTGGACAGGCGCCAGGGCAAGGGCTGCAGAACCCTTCACTGTGCAGACAGAGAGATACAGCAAGAGCCTTTATGGGGGCAAGCAAGTCTCGGGGGGGCCGTGAGAGCAATGTCTGAGGGACAGGCATGGGGCGCAGGCAGCACAGAGCAGGGGAGGAGTAACAACTCCAACCCCTGCATGTTCTGGACTCTACCAGCTGCTGGTCCCATACATCCCACCACAGCCCAAGGAGGTAGCTCTGGTTATCCCGATACCATCTTGGAAATGCGCAGACAGCACGCAGGTCACTTGCCCAAGATCACCCCGAGCAAAACTGGGAGCTTGTCATAGTACCTTCTGGGCACTGTAGCAAAATCTGGGTGGCTTACAAACAACAGAACGTATTGCTACAGCTCTGAAGGCTGGAAGGCCAAGGTGAAGGCCTCGGAAGATTCAGTGTCAGGCTAGGGCTGCTCCCAGCTTCCTCGGTCCTCATCTGGTGGAAGGGAGAACGTAGTGCTCTGGGCCTAATCGGCTATAAGGGCACTAATCCCCTCCCTCATAAGCTAATCACTTCCCAAAGGCCCCACCTGCTGATCTCCTAATTCCATACTCTGGGAGTTTAACATATATATTGGGGTGGAGGACAGAAGCATTCAGCCCACAGCAGAGTTAAACCCAAACACGTCGCACTCCCATGTTTACACCTCCCTGTAAAATAAAATGCAGGTGCACTGGGCAAAAAGCGGCAGACTAAGCAAACGTTCCCAGGAACCCTGAGGTTATATAAAATACGTGGCATGGTCTTGTAACTGCACCCAGTAACTTAAGACCCCTTGCCTCCAAACCCTAACTGTGACTCCCTAGAGGATCACACAGAAACCATTTCTGTTCTTTTTTTATTATTATTTTGGAACTGATTTAGTGTTTAAAAATATTGCATCTTCAACCGTCCATCTCAGTACCATAACTTTGAGAATACCTGAATTTTAAAAAAATTTCCCATTAATATGAGGGTACAAATGTTTAGGTTACACTGTTTTTATTTCTAAGGTCAAGTTCAAGTTATAGAACTTTCACCCGGGGGCGTGCTGAACACCCTCATATTGTGCACATTAGTTGAGATCCCTCCGATCACTCCCTCTTCCCCGCTTCCCTCTCCTTCTCATTACACCCCCCCCTTCTCTCTCCGCCCCCTTGATAGACTATCCTTGGGTTTTTCTTTCACCTGGATGTGTAGTTGTTTATATATTGGTTTTATATTAGTACTGAGTACATTGGATACTTGCTTTTCCACTCTTTTGATACTTTATTAAAAATGTGTTTCAACTCCATCCAAGAAAACACAGAAGATGTAAATTACCTATATTTTCTTTTTTTTTTTTTTTTTGAGACAGAGTCTTAAGCTGTCACTCTGGGTAGAGTGCAGTGGCGTCACAGATCACAGCAACCTCAAATTCCTCGGCCCAAGAGATTCTCTTGCCTCAGCCTCCCAAGTAGCTGGGACTACAAGCGCCTGCCACAACACCCAGCTATTTTTTGGCCCAGGCTGGATTTGAACTTGCCAGCTCCGGTGTATGTGGCTGGTGTCCTAGCTGCCTAAGTTACAGGTGCCAAGCCAAATTCTCTTTTCTTTTCTATTTTTTTTAATTAAATTATAGCTGTGTACATTAATGTAATCACAGGGTACAGTGTGGTGTTTTCATATACAATTTGTAATACTCTCATCAAACTGGTTAATGTAGCCTTCATGTCATTTTCTTAGTTATTAAGACATTCGTACTCTGCTTTTAGAAAGATTCACTTGTACCCTTATAAGATAAGCCATAGAGGTGACCCCAACAATCACCCTCCCTCCACCTATCCAGCCCCCTCCCCTTCCCTCCCCCCCTATATTCTAAGGCTATAATTAGGTTATATCTTTCCTATGAAAGCTATAAATTAGTTTCAAAATAGGGCTGTGTATATTGGATACTTTTTCTTCCATTCTTGAGATACTTTACTAAGCAGAACATTTTCCAGCTCCGTCCATGTAAACACGAAGGAGGTAAAGTCTCCATCTTCTCTATCTTTTCTTATGGCTGAATAGTACTCCATGGTATGTTTATACCACAATTTATTAACCCACTCATGAGTTGACGGGCACTTGAGTTGCTTCCACATCTTGGCAATTGTGAATTGAACAGCAGTAAACATTTCAGTACAAATGTCCTTGTGGTAAAATAATTTTTTACTTCTTTCCTAGTAATGGGATTGCAGGAACAAATGGAAGATCCACTTTTTTTTTTTTTTGAAAATTCTCCATGCTTTTTCCATAGAGGTTATATTAGTTTGCAATCCCACTAGCAGTTTAAAAGTGTTCCCTTCTCTCCACAGTCACGCCAGCATCCTCAGATTTAGGCTTTTTTGAGGTGGGCTAATCTCCCAGTGTTTGGTGAGATCTCAGAGGGGTTTTGATTTGCATTTCTCTGATGACCAGGGATGATGAGCATTTCCTCCTGTGTTGTTGGCCGTAGGTCTGTCATCTCCGGAGAAGTTTCCATTCAAATCTCTTGCCCTCTTACGTTTGCTATTTTATTGTTGATTTGTTTGAGTACTCTGTAGATCTAACTATCAGCCCTTTATCAAATTCATGGCAGGCAAATATCTTCTTCCATTGGAAACCATGGTTAAGGGCTTCATGTGGTGGACAATACTCTCATTAATTGCCCCATTCTCTGAATGTCCTTCATTTTTTCTCAAGTGTGAGATCTTATCTGTAGGGTCTTGCATAGCAAGGAACTGTATTAACATGACATCTAGAGAGGAGAGGCGCATGTGTGTGAGAGAAGGAGTGGGTGTCTCTCTGAGTTCTCCTGTCTCGGGGGTCAGGTTGGACGAAATCCCGCCCCACATCTGCTTTTGTAAATAAAGTTTTACTGTGACATAGCCACGCCTATTCATGTGTGCAGCATCTCTGGCTGGCTGCCTTGGCACCACAGTGGCGAGACTGAACCCCTGCAGCACAGACCTTGTGGCTCACATAGCGGGAAGTCTCTCTCTGGCTAGCCCCACTCTAAGTCAAATAGGATTGCTGGTACAAGACCCGTGCCAGCTGCATTCACCGGATACTTGGTTTCCCACTGCTCTGCCTTGAGAAGCGGGCGGGCCTCCCTCTCTCCTCAGGTTTCTCCAGTGCCCCATGCACAGGAGTTTGCCATCAGGGTGTGTCCCCTTCAGTCTAACAAGGAGGTACCCAGCAAACAGGTGGAGGCCAGGGCAGCTCAGCCCTGGGGCCCACTTCCCTGCTGACTGGCACACACAGCTCATTCCTTCACACCCATTTCCATACACTGCCCACTCCAAGCCAGCTGGCCAGGGAGCAGCCATGCCTCACCTCTACCAGGCCCCAGGGCCCCAGGTGCACCCAGTTCCCAAGGATGCCCGGACTATCCACTCTTCAGGCCAGAGCTTCGCGCAGCTGAGGGAGGCATGCCTGCAGAGAGGTGCCCTGTTTGAGGACACAGACTTCCCAGCCAACAACTCTTCCCTGTTCTACAGTGAAAGGCCCCAGGTCCCCTTCATATGGAAACGTCCAGGGGTGAGTGGGGCAAATGGGGGAGGACAGATGATGCTGAGGCTTGAGGGCAGCACTCACCTGGGGGAGAGAGGACATGGAAAGAGGGGCTGGGTAGGGGCAGCCCTGGGTATACTGGGATGGACCTCAACCTGCCCAGGGCATGTTATGTGAACCCTGCAGTAGGGCAGGAAATGATGTACTGGCCTGGAATGCTCTGGGGTAGGTGCCCAGGGGTCTGGGTACAACTCTCTCCCCTGCCCAGCGTTCCTGACTTCCACCAAACCCAGAGATCTGGAGCCAGATAGGCTGTTAGCAGTGGGCAGTGAACAGGAGTGGAAAGCCTTATGCAGAAGATACATCTTGGTTCAGAGACTTCCCTGCCCCTGTGTGTGGGAACCTGAGATCACATTCCTGGGTGCTCTGTAGCTTCTGGCCTAGAGCGGAGGATGCTGGCTGTGGATGGATATTTGGCTTAGCCAGTTCTCAGCAGTCTGGATGTCATGGGTCCCGAGAGTTGCCAGCTGGTGCCAGGGACACTATATCAATATTTGTATTGCTGGATTAGTCAGGGCTCCACCTCCAATCGGGTGCTGGCTCCTAGTCCCTCTGGGTGGGTATCGGCCTGGGAGTGGTGCCTGTGAGGACAGGTGGCTTATGAGCTAGGAGGAGCAGTGCAGAGGGTGCTGCAGCCCCCAGTGAGACCTGAGTTCTGGGGTCACCCTGCTACTAATTTGTCTTATGATCACAGTCACATCACTTAACTTCCCTGATCCTCAGTCTCCTAAGCTATAAAACGGGAACCATAATGACTAATGTAGGTCAATGTGCAGTGCACAGAAGCTTTTCAGCTGAGGTCATTATTATTATTGCAGTTATTATCATCACCATCATCATTATTAAATCTGAATCCCATCTTACTTATTAGTAGCAAAGGATTCACCACAGCTACCTCCTCTTTATCTCTAAACCATAAAATAGTGCTGTTGTCTTAAATATAGGGCATGTTCATTGTAAAAATGCACATACACAAAACCTCTGGGCTCTGCAAGGACAGAGCCCCAGTGAGCATGGACTGTTATTTATGAAGTGGAAAGGTCTTTGCCACTATTTCCTGTTCTAGGCAGTGTGGAGTGTATGTGCATGTGTGTGCATACTCTTTGGGGCAGGTATGTGACTTTGTGTGGCTGGGCTGTGTGCATGTGTGTGTGTGGCTGTGTGCATGTGCGTATATGGCTGTGTGCATGTGCGTATGTGGCTGTGTGCATGTGTGTGTGCATGCATGCACGTGTGTGGCTTCACGCACAGGCACACAGTGGCCTGGGGCTTCACCTGTCAGGTAATTGATTCTCACAGAAGGATACACTTCCAGTCCCAGAGAGGTGCCTTATGAGTGGGGGAAATGGCAATGAGCACCCGGTTGCCCAGCAGAGCTGAGGTGAAGACTCCTGGGCACATTTCTCAGATAATCCAGAGCTCCTCTACAGCAGGTTTAGGGTTCTGTGCATGTGGCTGGCAGCAGTGCAGGGTCAGGACAAGGCACCCAGATCATGGGGGGCACTTGATTGGCAGGATCAATTGTTCTGCTAAGTAAGCAAAAGAATATTTCCAAAATTAAAAAAGCAAAATAATGACCTCTGAAGGGCACTGCCCATACCCCATAGGTCTTCCTGGGCTTATTGCCAGCCCTCGGCCCATGACCAAGAGGGCACATGAACAGCTGCCCCAGGCTGAAGACTGTGTGTGCATTTTTAACTGAGATTTCCCCATGGTTGCAGTCAGGAGCCGTGGAAGATAAGTTCCAAAGAAGCTGATTGCCTTGGCCCCAGGTCGGCAGAGCCCCTGGCCAGGTGGCCTTTGGCCACTTGCAGCTTTTTTTGTTTACCCAGGTGCTGTGCAATTAACATTTTCTTTTTTTCACCCTCAGTAGAGAGCTGTGGTGTCACACAGCTCACAGCAACCTCCAACTCTTGGGCTTAGGCAATTCTCTTGCCTCAGCCTCCCAAGTAGGTGGGACTACAGGCACCTGCCACAACATCGGGCTATTTTCCTGTTGCAATTTGGAGGGGCTGGGTTTGAACCCGCCACCCTCGGTATATGGGGCCAGCGCCCTACCCAATGAGCACAGGCATCGCCACAATTAACATTTTCTATAGGGACTTAATAAGAAAAAGCTAGAGCACCTGCTTAGGGAGCCAGGTTAGTGAGCTCAGTGCCTCTTATTTTAAATGGAAGTTGGCTGGGTCTACAGAACTGGATATAGCAAAGTGCACCTTTCTGTTCAGCAAGCAAACAGCCAGGACTTGGGGGCTCCTAGCCCATGGCCAGGGAGGCTCCTTGGGCCTGAGTCTGCTCTTGCTCAGGGTCCTAACCTGTGCTTGTGGTCCTTCCTCTCCAACCCTCCCTTGCCAAGGTCACCCCACTCTTCCTGGGAATCACCCATGACCTCTCCCAGCCAATAGTGGGGCTCCACCCCTGGGAGCCTGCCCAGTGAGGTCCTCCCTCTCCTGCTTAGTCAGTGCCTGGCTTGGGGACGGTGCCATGTGCCTGTGACTAAGATGAGAGGAGACACAGGAGCCATGACATAGCAAATTCTATTCTGTGCCTGGGGTTCAGGAAAACAGAGTGAGAGTCACCACTAATGAGCATCAGGGACTCATGGAGAATGCCGGGCAGTTTCCACACTGAGGGCTGCCAAATCTCCTTAACTTGCCGTAACTGTTGTGATCCATTGGTGATGTCTGCCCCAGACACAAGACATTGCCCTGGGAATGCAGATGCTGCGGGTCAGCTGCTCCAGGCCTGTCATTGAGAGCTGGTGCTAGACATGGTGGATATAATTCTTGTGCTAGAAGAATAGCCAATCCACTCAGAATGAAATAAAATAAATGAACGAGAAACAGACATGCTGCACGCAGCTGCAGCTGCTGACAGGTCTCCCCTGGAGCTGCTACTCCTGGCCTCCAGTGTGGCCTTCCTGTCCTTCCCCTCTCTGCAGGTACCTTTGAGTAACTCCCTCTTCCAGTAGGAAAAACTCACCCTTTTGCAGATACCAGGACACTCTGCCCAGGCTGTAAATGCCTAGAAAGATTGCTGCATGGAGAAACTCAACACACTTATTCATTCTTGAATTTTCCCTTAACTGTCTTCCATCTTTTCCAACATGGCAGAGAGAATAAAAGGAAAAAAGCCAGCAAAAAAGAAATTAAGTACCCTAGAATCACTTGAACACTGGAATTTTTAAACGTTGAATTACAGTTTATTTGCACTTATTAAAGCAGATTCAAAGAGGCTGGGCTGGGCTAGGCTGGGGGTGGACATGGAGCTGCTTCTGGAGTGCAGGGGCTGGCAGGGTAATCATGGCACTACCCGCCCCCTCCAGAAGGTCGCCATGGCCCGGGTGCCATCTGCACCTAAAAGTGCATGTCTCAGCAGGCTGGTAGGACCATAGGTGGGGCGACCCTGTCCCCAGCACCACCTTCTTGTCAAACACAGCTGTGCTGGGGGGAGGGCGGACAAGTGCAAAGCCAGGGCACATTGCTTTGGGGAGAAGATGGGGGTCCAGGGAGGGTGACAGACTCAGTGTGGAAAGAAAGTGAAGTCACTGCTAGTGGTCATGCAGGGGGCTGTGCACCTGACTAGGGTGTAGAGAAAAAGGAAGGGTGTGCCAGGTGAGGGACCCCAGCCTGATGTGGAGATAGATAGCCACCATGCACCCACCCACAGTTGTGCACAGCTACCCATTCCCACGCACATCACAGACACCCACCCCCACACCTACCCCTGAGACTGGCACACATGTGTACTGCCTCACAGAAACCCACACGGAGGGCAGCCACACAGCCAGGCACCTCCCCAGGTTATGACTGTGACTAACCCGTGTCTATGTGGTGAGGATTTCAGAGTTTTCTCCCCTTATATTTTTGTCCTAGGTGGATGCAATTTGATGAAGTCTCCTGGACAAACAAACCAACTGCAAGATGGTGGTTAAGAGGCAGTGGCAGCTGCAGTCACAGCTGGCATAGCTGGTGCAGCTGTCAGGGCCGGGCCAGCAGGAGGCTTGGGAAGGGGAGGGGGCAGGAAGGACAGTGAGGAGGCAGTATTTGCACACACAGCCTGACCCATCCCCAGGAGCTGGGGTGGCCTGCCACAGGAATGAGAATGCTGGCAGTGGGGTGTAGCAGCCCGTATAGCCTATGGCTAGGAGGAGTGAGAGTTATAGGAAATACCTGTAATGGAACACCTTGGTGAAAAGGGCATGGGGAGAGATTTGGTTCTAACAAGCATGAGAGAGCTCGCGAGATGAGAGCATTGGTGAATTGGCAGTCTCTGCACCTGTGGTGTTGAGAGGCACAAGCTCAGCCTTATATTAGGCTGGAGGAGAAGGCAGTCGGGAGCATGCGCAGTCTATCATGGACTTGCTGACTCTGACTCTGTCTCCTCTCCTGCCTGCAGAAGGCCAGCAGGGCGTCTCTCTGCTGAAGATTACCAAGCTCTGCTAAAGACTAAGAGCTATCTGTTCTAAGAAGACCTTTACTCTCTCTAAGATACTCTGTCTCTCTCTCTCCAGCTAAAGTAGATAGCCCTCAAGCACCTACGAGAAACTGTTCCTGAGCAAGGTAGCTTAGTGGTCCGCGTCCAGAACCTACCTAAGCTGGGCCCAAGACCTGGCCAGTCCTGGGCCCTGACAGTGGGGCACTGCTTCTTAGGGTGAGTCGCCTGGTGGGTGCTGGGCAATCAAGACAGGGAGGGCTTTGGGTCCTCTTGGTGTTGATATTGGGGCAGAGGCTTCAACATGCATTCTGAAGTGTCCAAGCTGGGGTAGCGGAAGACACAGCCCTGAGGCATTAAATGGGCTGCTCAGAGTCTCCCTGCTGAGCAGGGCCAACTACTGCCAAGAGGCCAAAACACATTTTCCGTGTCTGTCTCACGGTATATGTGAATGTCTCATATACCCTCAGGTTTGCCGTGTCTGTCTGTCCCAATCCACCTGCTGGCTGAGGCGGAGGGTGAACCACAGTGTGTTGGGTTGAAAGTTGGCAGAGGGCCCACACTGGCAAGCCAGGAGATGGCACCAAGGAGCCACCTCCCCACCCTCACTGCCTTTGCTGACATGTGAGGGACTCCAAGGCCACCTGGACTGAGGATGGGAATACCTCTGCCAGGCCTGGGTGCATCCAAAGGCACAGTGCTCTGAGAAACTTTCCCAGCTCAGCTTACTTGGGTGCTTTAAGGACCAATGTATCCACGCAGCCCTCTCCATGTGGGGACTCTGGGCATCTGCCTCTCCACTCAGCTGCCACATCCTGTTACAGACAGCATTATTGTCTAGCAAGTCGGTTGTTTGTCCTGGGACTCTGGTCTTCTGAGAAATCTCTGTCCTCCTTTGATTGTTTGGAACACAGGACAGAGGGTGGAGGTCTCTCTGGAGAGGCCCCTGCATGGGATCAGCCCAGTTACTGCCTGGGCCCCTCCATGGTCTTGGTGTCTAGAAACGGGGGAACAACCCAGACTGACCTGCACCCCACCCAGTTGAAACAGTGGAGCATTTGCTATGCCCAGAATTTATGTTAGTGCCACACCAGTCGCTGTTCCCTCCAGCTCTTCCTTTCTTTGGGTCTCTACTCACCATCCACTCCCCAGAGTGGCCTCCCACTCTGACCACTCCACCTGCGGCAGCCTGCCTGTCCTGGCACCTGCCACCCCAGGCTTTCTGATTTCTGGGTCATGGCCTATTTTCCCTACCACATGGAGTCCACGGTGGCTGGAAAGTCTTCCAGTAGAGACTGGAAGTCTCTACCTTGCTGTAGTCCAGTATCCAGGATAGAGTCTCGCATCTCAGAAAAATGGGAAGAACGTATGAATTGTACAGAGCTGCTTTCTAACCCTTTGTGTGTTATACGTACCCTTCCATATTATACATGCATATATTAATACATATTAACACACACATGATTTGTGTGATATATAATAAATATATTAGTATACAATGCAAAACCACGTGAGAGGTGTGTGCGTATCTCCCTCTGCATATTCAGGGGTCCTCAAACTACGGCCCACGGGCCACATCTGGCCCGTTCGGGTGTTTTGGCCACCGCTGCCTGTCCTGCGTAGCAGCCAACTCATCCTGGGGCCCGCAGTCCAGCCCTCCAACAGTCTGAGGGACAGTGAACCAGCCCCCTGTTTAAAAAGTTTGAGGACCCCTGGATCATACAATTTTACCAAAAGGTGTTTCTAAAAGAAGAAAGAAGCTGGGGTGGTGGGGAGTGGGGTTTATGTGTAACCCAAGGCCCCAGGCTGTGTTGTGGGCATTCTCACCTCATTTTAAGATGAGGAGATTAGAGCCCACAGAAGTTACAAAGCTCACAGGTGAGAGAGCCAGGTTCTGAATACTGAGTCTGACGCCAAGCCTGGTGCTTGAGTGAAGACAGGGGTCGTTCATGCATGGCCACTGACCCCTTTTGCAATTGCGTGTGGTGTGAATCTCTGTGGCCAGAAGACCATGCTCAGGGCTGGTTGGGAGGCAGACCCTATTCCTGGGAATGGGATTTACTGGAGAGGAGTCCAGGCCCTTCAACTCCATGTGGCAAGGAAACCCAACAAATGTGGGGAGTACTTTGTCTCTGCAGGAAAGAGCAGACCCAGAGCCCCCTTCCCCCTGCTGGCTAGCAGTATGGCACGCCTTGCTCTAATCACCCTCCTGTTCCCCCAGGAAATTGTGGAAAACCCAGAATTCATTCTTGGAGGGGCCACCAGGACTGATATCTGCCAAGGGGATCTGGGTGAGTATGAGAGGACAGAGTATGGCCAGAGGGACATTGGGGCTGGCAGGATGGGGCAGCTATGGCAGCACAGGGTTCCGAGAAGCTGCAGAGCACAAGGGTTGGGGAGACTGCACTGCTACCACCCATGCCTCTCCCCCTCCCCAGCTGGCTTCTGCCCCCTCTGAAGGAAGCCCCATGATCCCGAGGCTCTTGCACTCCTGTTCCTCTGGAGGTAGACACATCTGTGATCTGGAGCTCCCAGCCCAGGAGTTTGCAAAGGACAGAGACACCCAGCAGTGTGATTTGGCCTTCCCACCCCATGACGGCAGCTCACATTGGCACACATGAACTTGGTCACCTGATGTCATTCTCTTAACGCATTGCCCTGTTTCTTCTCACTGACCACCCTGTTATGTCACAGATGAGAAAACAGGGGCTGTGGAAGGCTAAGTGACTTGTGCAAGAGCACAGAAGTGATGGGTGGGCAGCCGGGCTTTGAGCCTGGACAGTCTGTCTGCAGAGACTTGCTCCTAACACTTGACACACTGCCTTGAGGGGCTTGTACTTTGGGAAACACCCCCTAGCAGACCAATCTCCTCCTGCAATTGACCTGAATTGCCCCCAGTTCAGTCAAATCTGGCCTGGCATTTTAGAATGTAATCGTAAGGCTGGATGTACCTTCATACCATCTATGAAAACAAACAAACAAACAAAAAAGAGTCCACTTAACAACAAAAAGAAAACAAAAAAAAGTAAAATCCGCCAAGAGAGCAAACTGCTCCAAGCCCATGCAGCCCCTGACTTACTTATAACTGAGGTTATTGCTGTGACCTAATGGTTAAAGCAACACAAGGTGAAACCTCCATGCCAAGTACCTGAGCTACCCTAAATGCTACTACCCTAAGTGTATCCAAAAGTCACAAACCTGGAGGGTTGGTAGTTAATTAAACAGACAGGTAGATAGAGCATAGACAGGTGGAGAGATGATGGATGGATGGATGGGTAGTCAGGTGAATAGACAGACGTGTAGATGGGTGGTGGATAAGTAGATAAGAGCAGGTAGGAAAGTAGTGGAATGATAGGTGAACGGACAGACAGATACAGATGGCTGGTGGATAGATGGTAGATGACAGCATTACAGTTGATTGACCCTTCAGCAACAAGGCTTGAGCTGTGCAGGTTCCTTACACACAAGAATTTTTCAACCAAATGCAGATGGAAAAGACGGTATTCAGAGGATGTGAAATCCACCTCTATGGACGGCTGACTTCTGGTACCTGCAGGTTCTGCAGTGCGGACCATGAGACTTGAGCAAGAGCAGAGTTCAGTGTACTGGAAGGTCCTGGAGCCAGTCCTGCATGGGTGATGAGGGAAGACTGCACAGATTTAGAGTTTTCCAAAATTTCCCATTCAGATGGTCTTCCTTTACTGAGACTCTCCCTGCTGCTTCCTGCCTCTCCCTCCCCTCCCCTGCCCCCACCACAGTCCTCTACTGCCATTCAGAGGGAAGACTAACCAACCCCTTTGTCTTTCCATGTTTTGGCTTGTCAGGTTGGTGTAAACATGTATTCAACCTTCATAGGTGGTTAATTGTAAATGTTACTTGGTTACACTTTTATTACACCCAAACACTGTACATAGCATATATGTATGTATTAATTATGAAGGATAACAATAAAATGAGCAGCGACTCCTGTTAGTGTAGGGTGACCAGACGTCCTGATTTTGGCGGGACAGTCCCGCTTTTCAACAATTTGTCCCGTGTCCGGCGGCGTTTTAAAAAAGTTTTGATTTTTGGAAAGAATGCACGAACAGGCTGGAGAACAAGAAGGGAATATACGGTTTTCCGCCACCATATGGCTATTTCACCAGAATATAAGTTTTATATTATTTTTATTAATTTTATTTTATTTTATTATATATATATTTTTTGAGACAGAGCCTCAAGCTGTCCCCCTGGGTAGAGTGCCATGGCATTACAGCTCACAGCAACCTCCAACTCCTGGGCTCAAGCGAGTCTCCTGCCTCCGCCTCCCAAGTAGCTGGGACCACAGGCGCCCACCACAACGCCGGGCTATTTTTTGGTTGCAGCCATCATTGTTGTTTGGCGGGTCCGGGCTGGGGATTCGAACCCGCCACCTTAGGTGTACGTGGCTGGCGCCTTAGCTGGTTGAGCTATAGGCGCGAGCCTTATTAGTTTTATAATGTTAAACTGTAATAAATAATTGCGGAGAAGTGATTATCCAGAACTGCTTATCAAAGTTTGCCTTGTTGTCAGGGCCTGCCCTGCGCGTGCCCCGCCCCAGCTCCACCCCCACCCCCGCCCCGCCCCTGCCCCCCGGCCATGTTGTCCTGCCTTACAGATGTTAAAATCTGGTCACCCTATGTTAGTGCCCTCTGAAAGACATCACCCAGTGTGGATCAGCAAACTGGCCTGCAGCGGGGGCATTTCTGGCACAGCTAGGAGGACAGTCCCTGCCTTCTGCCCAGGCCCAACAGAGAGAAAAGCCATTTTGTTTTTCTGTTGAGTCTCTCAATTTATTTTAAATTGTATAAACAACATTGACTCCTGAATCTTCCCCTCCAAAACACAGGGAGTATCTGGCTGAACAGACATGACATGTTTGTGCTCTCTGGTCAGAAAAAGACACCATGTTTTCCTCAACTGGGCAAAGTTGGAAGAGAGGGAGGAAAAGGTCAGCCCATAGCAAAGGTCACTCTGTTAGACTCCTGTGAGCTGAAAGCAGAGGCTACAGCCGTCCAGCAGTGTCCCTTCCTAATGGCATCCCTCATAGCTGATCCAAGGCTCCCCAGACCAGCAAGTGCATCAGAAACCAATCTTCCCATGCCCTTCCTGTGCACCGAGGTGGCATATGCCCCGTTGGTGACACCCTTGAGAAAGCCAGAGACAGAGTGATTGAGAAGTCGCCCTCTTACTGTAACGCCCTGGGGATTTTCTCTTGCCTGTGAACAACCAGAAATGGTTATATTACAGTGTCCCAAGTCTAGTCAGATAGTATTTTCCAAAAAATGTGACCTTTGCGAAAGCCGTGAGTGTGATGGGTTCTTAGATTCCAATGATACTGATATTTTCTACTGAAAAAAAAAATCCATACAAAGTTGAGAGGCCGAGTCCGGTGCGAGGATGCTCCCAGATACCCACTCATGGGCATTTCACAGGCAGCGTCTGAAACCCTGCAAGGTGCACACCAGAGGCTGAGCCTGTCCTTTCTTAAGGCAGGCAGAGGAATGCATCTGGAGTCCAGCAGGACACAGTTAAAACACTGATGTTTGACTTTACATTTCTGTTTTCCTCCTGATGTGTGCCCATGAGTAGGGTGACCAGATGTCTCAGTTTTGGCGGGACAGTCCCACTTTTCAGCAATTTGTCCTGCGTCCCACGACGTTTTAAAAAAGTCCCGATTTTTGGAAAGAATGCACAAACGGGCTGGAGAACAAGAAGGGAATATACGGTTTTTGGCCGCCATATGGCTATTTCGCCAGAATATGAGTTTTGTATTATTTTTGTTAATTTTATAATGTTAAACTGTAATAAATAATTGCTGAGAAGTGATTATCCAGAACTGCTTATCAAAGTTTGCATTGTTGTCAGGCCCTGCCCTGCGCCGTCTCCTGCCCCGCTCCATCCCACTCTGCCCCTGGCCATGTTGTCCCGCCTTACAGATGTTAAAATCTAGTCACCCTATCCATGAGAAGACACAGCTGGTTCCATAGATGAATCACTAAATCTTGAAAATCCAAAATAATGTAAAGCAAATGAGCGCTGCCATCTGTAACTAGACTGAGTCTGGGTTGGGGAGACGTGTCGGCCCAGAGATGGCACACGGGCACCCAGGGGCTATTTCTGAGCACTCTCCTCTAGCGCTGCAGAGCCAGCTTGGGCTGCAGCTCTGAGATGTGTGCCCCCACCCCTGAATACTGATGTGACACTGACAGTCTCTGTCCTCCAGAAGGCAAGTCAGTGGCTGGAGTTTCTCAGAGCTGATGTGGCCAGAGCCGCACGTCTGGCCCTCAGTGGACATACCCGTCCACCGTGCAGCAGGTGTCCTGGAAGACTGGGCAGGACATGAGCGGGCCTGGGGGGTGGGAGGGAGGACAGAGGTATTTGTTAGCATTCTGTCCAGCTTAAAAAATGCAGAAAAGATGTGACCACATCTGGAACTCCCCACATCCCCTCTGGCACAGAGATTTTCCATTTCCCAGGAATTGGCAACAAAAACTGTGGTTTATGGCTTTTGTCTTGCAGGAGACTGCTGGCTGTTAGCTGCCATCGCCTCCCTCACTCTTAATCAGAGAGCGCTGGCCAGAGTCATCCCCCCAGACCAAAGCTTTGGCCCTGGTTATGCCGGCATATTCCATTTCCAGGTAAGAGAGAGGCCTGAGCTGGTGGTTTTCCCTCTCTGGGGCCCAGCATGACACCAGGTACATGTGTGCTGGCTGTTAACCCGGGGAACAAGGTGGCCGTGTCTGTATGAAAGCCATGGTCTCAACCTTATTAAGACCCAGCTTCCTCCTGGAATAACTTCTAAACACACCGGAAAAGGATTACAGGCATTAATAGTGGTCCTTGTGGAAAGTATAAAACTTCAAGGCTCAATGCCCATAGCTCAGTGGTTAGGGTGCTGGCCGCATACATTGGGGCTGCTGAGTTGGAACCAGCCTGGGCCAGCTAAACAAAAATGACAACTTCAACAAAAAAATAGCTAGGCGTTGTGATGGGCACCTGTAGTCCCAGCTACTGGGGAGGCTGAGGAAAGAGATCACTTAAGCCCAAGAGTTTGAGGTTGCTGTGAGCTGTGATGTGATGCCACGGCACTCTACTGAGGGTAATATAGTGAGACTCTGTCTAAAAAAAAAAGAAAGAAAGAAAGAAAGAAAGTATAAAACTTTAAGTGATTTTTGGCCAATCTGGAGGTCCATCCATTAAGAGTTATATTATTTGAAATTTCTCATGCTTTAAAGCATCAATTACCTAAAATAATTATTCCTCTGGGGAAGTAGACAATCTTTTACTAATAGAGAGGCTCTTCCTATGGAAGAAACGTCAGTTTGGAGATCTTGAGGGAGTTCATCAAATGAAAACTGAGAGAAACAGAGAAGGCGTGCCTGCTGGAGTCCTGCATGACCCGCAGCTGGGGTGCACAGAGCGGGTTTATCCCCGGGAGACTTGTTTCCTGGTCCCTCCCCTCCCCTCTGCATCTGCATGTCTCCCACCCCCGCCAGGTACAAAGGCCTCTGCTGACACATAGGTTCCCGCTCAGGGCCAGCCCTGCGCCCTCCATCCCCAGCACCTTCAGTGTGATACCCAGATGCACTCTCAGGTTCAGTAACTACAGCACAGAAGTGTTCCAAAATCAGAGATGGCACGTAGTGATGTGCAGCTCAGGGAGTTTGTGTCCACTCCCAAGGCTTAGGCCTTCTGCGCTGGCTGCAGACAGAGCTGTCTTTGGATCCTGGGAAAACTCTGTCCTCCCCTCCCATAGACCTGCCACAGCCTCACCTGGCTGTCTCCCCTCCGCCCCTCTGGCTTTGCTCATGCCACAGCCTTGGCTTTACGGTGTCTCCAGGCCCCGGCCCATCACCATCCTCTTGAACACACCAGGGAGGTAGGGTTGGGGGTATGTAATTCAGCAACTCCACCGGAACTGCTAAATAGGAAACACCGCCATCTGATCTTGGGTTCCCCAAGAAATACATGTCCTCTGCCCCATGGACTGTCACAGCTGGGAGGGGCCTTAGAAATCCCCAGACACAGCCCCCTCATTTGACCCCTGGAAATACTGAGTCCCAAAAAGGGGAACTGGCTGATCCAAGGTTACGAAACAGTAAGTAATCAAACCAGGTCCGGCACTCAGGAGTTCTGGCTCTGGTGAGAACAGAGGTGCTCTCTGGGGCTCCCCGGCAAGGTTAGGCTGGGTCTGGCAAAGTGGGTGCTGGTCAGTCCCGGTCTGGCAATATCCCACCTAGTTCCCCCTCAGCCTCATGGGAAGCAGAGCATTGGAGATAATCCTGCCTCCTGTACTTTCCTGGCCCTCAGCCACAGTACAAGGTGTGGGTGCCAGGAAGTTAGTGGGGCATCCTTAGCTGACCCCTGGTGAGGATGGCCAGCCTGAGGCTCGCTCTACACCCCTCCCCTACTCAGCAGGCCTGGACATTCAACACCTGTCTCAGCAGTGCCTCTGCTCAACTCGAAGCAGCAAGTGGCCCTGAGCAACTGTAGTGACCAGGTGTCAGGACCGAGGGGCTCAGGGGAAGCCTGAGTGGGGTCCAGCTTGTGCAGGGGCAGGATCCTTTCTTACAACTTGCACATTCAATCCCAGCCACGCCCTGGCTGGCCAAGCCTGCTTGGGATTGAGCCAGTGATGTAGGGAGAGACGCTCAGGATGCCAAAGCAGAGCTGAAGCAAATTGCTGCTGGAGCGTCTACTCTCCTCACTGACCTACTCTTCCTTCTTTCTCCAAGCTTACCTCTCAGGCCACCTGAACCAGAGGGACAGGAAGGGGCAGGTCCCTGCAGGATACCAGGCAGCACAGAGCAACTGTGTGTGGTCCTTGACTTCTTTCTGCTTCCATCCTGGTCCCTGCAGACCACATGCAGGCTCACACAGATGCACACATGCATACACGCATGCACACACACGCGCCACATGTGGGAGCAAGCACACTCATTTGCACACTTGCAGTGTATAAATGAACATGAACACTGCACATACACATGCACACCTTCACACATGTGTATAGACATGTGTGCACACGTATGCATTTGCACACACCTTTCCTCACTTTGTGGCACCACACCTGGCACCTGGATCACCAAGTTCACCTACTTCCCTCTGTGTGAGTGGCCAAAAAGTCAGTCTTAGGGGCCCAGCTATGGGCGAGGAGGAATTAACAGTTAAGGAACATTAGAGGCGGATCACAGAGTGGTAGAGAACTGGGCTTCACAAGAGCAAATTCAAACCCTACACTGCCACCCTGCTCCCCCACTCACACATACTTCCTGGTGAAGAGGAAAAATTTCATCCAGAGCACAGTAGTGCGTCTTCATGTGACTCCCGTCCTACCTGCCACCTCACAGCCCCACTGGGATGGGTTGGCAAAGTCTTCCAGCCCTTGTCAGGGTGGGTAGAATGCTCTGCACACAGCTCAGCGGACAATGTCAGGTGACCACATCATGGAACCCATGTATGATTTTCCTTGAGACTATAAGGGCAGTTTGGTTGTGGGGTGGCAGGGAACAGCAAGACAAACACCTGCAAATGGACCCCGGGCCTCCCACGTGACTGACTTGCCCTATAATTTCTGTTTCCACCCTGGGCAACAGTTCTGGCAGCATAGTGAGTGGCTGGACGTGGTGATTGATGACCGGCTGCCCACCTTCAGGGACCGCTTAGTTTTCCTCCACTCTGCTGACCACAATGAGTTCTGGAGTGCCTTGCTGGAAAAAGCCTATGCCAAGTGAGTGCCAGCCCCCTCAAGCCCACCTCGGGCAGGCCCCCATCACAGCACAGGGCCATAACAGAGTGTCCAAGGATCAAGGAGGTTGAGGCTCTGGGTTTGTAGGTAGGGTATGGCAGGACCACCTGCCTGGGGCTGGGAGGTAGCTGGGCAGGGCAGAGATAGAAAAGGGGCAGCCAAAGCAGCTTTACTGTCATGGCCTAGATGTGCCCCTGCTTAGACACAATGGCTACACATGTCTCCCTGAGTCACAAATCTAGCCTTGAAAGAGCTGGGAAGGCCAGGGGAGGTAAGTTCTGTCTGTGCCGATATCATTTGGTGCTGCTGACACTCTGGTGGACACAGGTGCAGATGTCCACACGTCCACCCATGTGGAGCACAGACAGCAGCTGTTCCCCCTGCAGGATGCTCCTTTTTTTACGGTTAAAGAAATTGTGATAAAATATACCTGACATAAATCAGTGATTTTTCAATTGGTGTGTCATGAGAGGATATTAGGTGTGCTGAGAACATTTTTAAAGATCATTAATTAAGTTATTTTGGAAAGAAGTTCAGTGTACAGTAAGTATGTTCTTTCTTTTAACTCTTTGTTTTTTTTGACCAACGTAATTTAAGTGCTCCTCATAAGTTTAACTATAGGTTCAAGTGTGCCATGAGATAAAAAAAGTATGCAGCTCGATAGCATAAAGTATATTGTATAGCCATCACCACAGCCCATCTCCAGGAATTTTTCATCTTGTGAGACTAAAACTCCATCCCATTAACCAATAATTTCTGATTCCTCCCTCCCCCCAGCCCTTGGCAACCCCATTCTACTTTCTGCCTCTATGACTTGACTAGTCTAGGAACCTCAGATAAATGGATACTGATTTGTAATCACTGACCAAATGACCTCAGTTCCCTCAGGCTCTCAATTCCTAGCCCACCAGCTTGTCAGCAGAAAGTCACAGTGAAATGAATTTGGTCCTCAAATGATGACAGAGCTCCTAGGAGCCACTCTCCAGATCATCCTGAATCTTTAAGCCATGGAAATCCTGTCCTCAGAGACAGAAGCAAGGGTAATCTTGCTTCTACCTCCAAGTGGGACCATAAAAATTACAAAATAAAGCAAACATGTACTGCCATTAAATCAATCCTAAAATCAGCCATCAAAGAAGAACCAAAGATGCTTTCTTTAGCCCCACTGTTCCAACCAGATCAGTCCAGACAGCCTTGAGGTGGACAAAGAATACTCTTTCCAAGCATGGCAGGTGGAAGGCAAGCCCAGTTCTGTCCCTTAGTGAGTCCCCCAATTGTTGTGATGCAAGAAAATCAAGACAAACTACACATCATCTAGTTTCTAAACATAAACAAGGAAATACAAATGTTCTAAACTTAAAGAAAATTTTTATTTTGAGATCATTAAAAAAGGTCAAACATGACTGTGAGAACACCTCCCCAAAAAGATATACAGATGATGTGATGGTTTTATGAGTTTTATGAGTCAGCTTGATTGAGCTGTAGGATGCCCAGGTGGTCAGTGAAACATTATTTCGGCATGTTTCTGTGAGGAAGTTTCTGGAAGAGATTAGCATTTGAATCTATAGATAAAGAAGATTGCTCTCCCCAACTTAGGCATCACCTAATCCATTAAAGGTCCAAATAGACCAAAAAGCCAAAGGAAGGGCTAATTCACTCCCTCTGCTTGAGCTGGCACATCCATTGTCTCCTATCTTTGGGCATTGGAGCCCCTGATTCTCAAGTCTTTGGACTCAGACTGGTACTTATATCATCAACCCTCTAGTCCTCAGGTATTCAGACTTGGACTGAATATACCACCAGAGCTCCTGGTTTTCTGGCTTGCAGATGCCAGATTGTTAAGATTTCTCAGTCTCCATAGCCATATGAGCAAATTCCTATAATAAATTTCCTGTTATATATATAGAATATATAAGACATATTATAACCAAACAATCTGACTGGGGGGGATTATGGGAAGGAGGCTGATTAGAAGCAGCTTTTGCCAGACGCTCATGTCCAAAGGGAGATACATTGGAGTGAAGTAGATGGAGGCCAAATTTGAAAAGCTATGTACTGAGAAAACTGTGCGAGGTATACATCAGCTAGGCTGAATCTAGCGACAGAAATAAGAAAGTAGAAGAAAAACGACAGGTACAACCCCAGCTTCAAGAGAAAGGGAGACCCCTCCCAGCAAATGGAAGCTCCACCGTGACCAGCCTGCAGGTGAATAGGGATCAAAAGCCTGCTTGCCTTATCCCATGGGAGAGCAGTTGCTAAGTGCCAGTCCTCCTTCACCATTGAGTTCCCCAAACTGAGCCTAGACCCTATCCTGCATGGCACAAAAGATCAAATATCATCCTGCAATCTCAAGCACAGAGATTTTCCTTCCCCCAGAGTAGTAGCTAAAAAGACTGTTCCCTGTAGAGGCGGGAGTGTTTGGCAAGATCACTGAGAAGCCCAGGAAATTTGCCTGCCACTGACCTGCAGCATAAGAACAGTAGTGCTGCAGCCCTAAACTTGGCCTGGAGAGGGTGAACTACCCATATCCAGCCCCTTAGGAATTCTTAGGTAGATCTGTTTTCTGCCCTTCAGGACAATCCTGACCTCAATTGGGTGGACCACATCTGGTGCCTGCACAACTTGTACCTGAACTTTACACCTGCTCCTCCACCCCCAGCACCCCCCTGAGCTTGATTGGGTGGACAGAGCCAGTGCTGGCACAGCAACTTTAACTGGAATTCTGGGCCAGTACTATCTACTGACTCTTTTCCCCTGGAGACACTGTCTGGGGCTGCAGATTCACTACTTGTGTGCCTTTGTTAGTGCTGTGGTGGCACTGCAACAATGAGGAGTGGACTCAACAGGGACAATCTATCATTTAACTAAAAAAGTATAATCAATATATTAAAAAAAGAAAGCAACTGCATTAATGTACACAGTTATGATTTAATAAAAAAAATTAAGCAAGAAAAAATAAAAAAAAGAAAGCAAAGAAGCTGAAAATACTCAGAGGAGGAATCATCAGAAGAATTCTGATAACATAAAAAATCAGAGCAGATCAACCCCTCCTGGGGATGTCAAAGAAAATACAACAGAAAATTCCATCCACAAAAAAATTGCTCAAATGTTGGAAATAGAATTCAGAATATGAATGGCAAATAAGATAATTGGAATGGAGGAAAAGATGGAAACAGCTAAAAAACAGTTCAGAAGTTGTCTCAAGAAATTAATGAATTCAAAGACAAAGTCAATAAGGATATGGACATAATGAGAAAAGATATAGCAGAACTTAAGGAATTGAAAAAGGTATTTGAGGACCTTCAAAATACAGTAGAATCCCTCAGAAATAGAGTTGAGTAGAGTGAAGTAAGATAAAGAAGATAGCCCATTGTCTCCATTGTAACATTGTAATGGAAGTTTTAGCCATCGCAATCAGGGAAGAAAAAGCGATCAAGGGTACCCATATAGGGGCAGAAGAGATTAAACTTTCACTCTTCAGAGATGATATGATTGTATATTTGGAAGATACAAGGGATTCTACTAACTAAACTCGTAGAAGTAATCAAGGAATATAGCAGTGTCTCAGGTTACAAAATCAACACTCATAAATCTGTAGCGTTTATATACACCAACAGCAGCCAAGCCGAAAAAATAGTCAAGGACTCTATTCCATTCACAGTAGTGCCAAAGAAGATGAAATATTTGAGAGTTTACCTAACAAAGGACATGAAAGATCTCTATAAAGAGAACTATGAAACTCTAAGAAAAGAAATAGCTGAAAATGTTAACAAATAGAAAAACATACCATGCTCATGGCTGGGAAGAATCAACATTGTCAAAATGTCCATACTACCCAAAGTAATATATAATTTTAATACAATCCCCATTAAAGCTCCACTGCCATATTTTAAAGATCTAGAAAAAATAATACTTCATTTTATATGGAATCAGGAAAAATCTCAAATAGCAAAGACATTACTCAGGAACAAAAACAAAGTAGGAGGAATTACGTTACCAGACCTCAGACTATACTATAAATTGATAGTGATCAAAACAGCATGGTACTGGCACAAAAACAGAGAGGTAGATGTATGGAACAGAATAGAAAGCCAAGAGATGAATCCAGCCACTTACTGTTATCTGATCCTTGACAAGCCAATTGAAAACATTGAGTGGGGAAAAGATTCCCTATTTAACAAATGGTACTGGGCTAACTGGATGGCGTCCTGCAGAAGACTGAAACTAGACCCACACCTTTCACCATTAACTAAGATAGACTCTCACTGGATTAAAGATTTAAACTTAAGACATGAAACTATGAAAATACCAGAAGAAAGCATAGGGAAAACACTGGAAGAAATCGGCTTGGGCGAAAATTTTATGAGGAGGACCCCTTGGGCAATTGAAGCAATGTCATAAATACACTTTGGGGACCTGATCAAACTAATAAGTTTCTGCACAGCCAAGAACACAGTAAATAAAGTGGTAGACAGCCCTCAGAATGGGAGAAGATATTTGCTGGTTATGTCTCCGACAAAGGTTTAATAACCAGAATCCATAGAGAACTTAAACATATTAGCAAGAAGAAAATGAGTGATCCCATCTCAGGGTGGGTAAGGGACTTTAATAGAAATTTCTCTAAAGAAGATAGGCGCATGGCCTACAGATATTTGAAAAAAATGCTCTCCATCCTTAATCATCAGAGAAATGCAAATCAAAACTACTTTGAGATACCACCTAACCCCAGTAAGATTAGCCCATATCACAAAATCCTAAAACCAGAGATATTGGCATGGATGTGGAGAAAAGGGACCACTTCTACACTGCTGGTGGGAATGCAAATTAATTCGTTCCTTTTGGAAAGACATCTGGAGAACACTGAGAGAACTAAAAATAGACCTGCCATTTGATCCTGCAATTCCTTTATTAGGTATATATCCAGAAGACCAAAAATCGAATTACAGCAAAGATATTTGTGTCAGAATGTTTATTGCAGCCCA